CCGTTTGAGATGTCTGTCGTACCAAACTCCCAAGGAACTTCATGATCATAATCATGGAGCCAGCTTGTCTTTTCCAAGTAGCCAGTCGCAGTAAAGTAAGTACTGAAGCCAAATACCGTCCTAATAAGGGCTATTTTTATTTGTTTGCACAACTAATGTCTCACTCGGTTTTACCGACTCGAATGAGTTCATTTTCACCATTGTGTCTGATCCCTTCACATACTGACACGTTTCTCCATCCCTCCCTCCCTATCCTCATAAATCGCACAGTGGATCCTGAATACTGTCTAACCGATGCCATGCTTCGAATGGATGATGTTCTCTGTTCCACCAATTACGAGATCGATTTGCATGCGAACCCCGTGCCCCGTTCCTCATCACTTCCGGAAGATCCAACCCTCGCGCGGGAATTGCTTCGTGTCGCTTTGAGTGGTGCCGTCGGAATTACTGGACGCATATTCTGGGAGAACACGAATCACGATAGTCCTGTTCAGCTGCATATGGCCAATGTGGGTGACTGTGGTGCCGTGCTGTTGCGTTTGGTTGATCCACTCAGCGAACGTAGGTTCACGTGCCTGTCTGTCGTGTTTCGGTTTGTTCTTCCCGAATTTGCGAACGGATTGGTAAACTGGGGATGAGCCGTTGTTTTTTTTTTGGGGGGGGGGATAAACACATTGAATTCAGAGTAGTAGACTTCGTTGGCTCGGCACGTATTGCTTATACCCATCGCGCTTTATTCGCTGTAGCCGCTCCGGGCTGGGGGAAAACACGTAGAGGTCAACGGATGACGTAGAGATAGGGCATGAAAAAATGCACAGAGCCATTCAGCATAGTAGTCATCTTGTGTCTTCCAGGTTAAGGTCCGATAGACTCTGCAACTGGTTGATTGAATACACTGGGGGATATGGCAGCGAATAGACAGCAGTGACGTTCTTGTTGTCATTTCTTATCAGGCACGAATGCTTCAAACGGTATGTATGCACAGTTAGATTGCGTAATCTGTGTGTTGACCGCAGAGGTTCACTTTCGCCTTCCCTCAAAACAGGTCCAATCCTTATCCATCTTTAATTATACCACTCACATTGTATGCACTGCGAGTTCGACAGCGATCCGTGAGGTTCACGTCGCTGTATCTCGCTGTACGATTATGCTGATGTTTGCCGGATTTGAATCAATCTGCATGCATATGTCCACTTGGGAAAGCGAGCCATCAGAAATTGTGACTACGATGCGTTACACGATTGACCCCCATTTACTTTCATTCCCACATGACTACAGTGAACCAATGGAGATTTTTATTTAATTGTGATTATGCGTGGTATCCCGGCATCGTTGGGTTTTTCTGTTCGAGGTTTTGCATCCATAAATGTAATGAGCAGGAGTTGTTCCAGATAAGCCCCTTGGTTAGCAGTTTGGTTCCCTCACGGAGTTGATGCAACGGGACACGTGACTTCGGTCTTATTTGGTGTCCGGCGACATTTGCTGGGTCGAAGTGACGTCTTATTCACAACTTGCCACTGATTTGCATACGGTTCCTCCACTATCACCAGGTACGTGCAGTTCTGACCCCCACCCCATCCCACCTCGAGTAAGCAACAACGATCGGTCTGGACTGTCGTTCAATAGCCATCGCGATCACTTAATAATCATGTATGATCTCCTCTTGGCCGTTACTTGTACATGAACATCCTCGGTCTCGTAGCGGCTATGCACATCTTTTGGATGTATCCCTAATCCGTTACATCACATCTGAGGCTTTGATCTTGGTAACCCATTGTGAATATAAGAAGAAAGACGTGTTTCATTGGAAAAAATATTACTTCACTGTTTAGAAATGCAGTTTTATGTGATGAGGGCTCTAATCAGGCCGCAGCTCATTCGCATCGGGTGTCACGTGAGACTGGTCGACCTCGTTATCGACTCAGCATTGACAGGCTTAGTGATTATTGATCTGTATTTCACTCATTGACTCTGTACAATCGTGTTGACACAATTTCAGTCAGCCCGTTCCAGTTCAGTGACTTATGTGTTCTTCACAAACAACAGGAGCTTACAAAATTATAACATTTAATATATCCGCATTTTTTGAAGGTTCAGTAATGTTTAATGGAGTACCTATATCGAAATTTTAAACTCATTCTGTGTGAATTTGACCCTTGTTTTTATGTGGATGTTGTTTCATCGTTTGACTAAATACAGTGAAATTGGCCTCCATGGAATACCATTTTCTTGTCTTGATTTGAACTGCCTATCCTTCGGACTTCACCTCCACGCACATTCCTCAGCTCATCCATGCAACCATACACTCGTAAGCATTAAACTCACGCTTCGCTCTTATTCGAGCTCATCAATAGTTGCATATCCACCGTCCATTCCTGGCTTTGAACTCCGGATCCCTCGGGCATGGAAGGGGTGTGTTACGGCTATGCCTTTCAGCTCATACCAGGGATGAACCGAATTGCCAATTCATGTTTTTTTATGTATCCTCTTCAGTAACAGTAAGTCAGTTTTGGCCCAACGGGGACGAGGAGAGACAGTTAACTGCCTGCTAACTCTAATCAAAAGCCTCCGACCAAATCAGGTCTTCCATGCAGGTTAGTCAGCTCAAATCAATGTTAATTATCCCACACCACTGCTCACAAGTAACCGTGAATTAATTGTAAATTTTCATATCTGTTTGTTCAGATGTTACACAATTCTCAAAAAAAATTGTTCAAATTTCTGTCCATTTTTAGCGTGATACTGGTAATGTAACAACTGCATCGCAAAACGACAAACAACAACATTTGCGTTTGCCCGTTTCTCTGAAGCCAAACTCTTCATCCTCGATTTACTTTTTTTCGCTAACCCTGTTGTTCATGAGTAGTACCAAGCAAATAACCGGTAACTACTAAACGAACACTGGTGACTGATAAACGATTACCGGATGCTAGTTATTTTATTGAACACTATCCACTGTTTTTCTACGGGTCGTCAAAAGATTCTCTTGAGGTGTTCAATTCATCGGATTATGCACTCTTTGGACGGGGTCAAACGTCCAAGGTGTTCAATACCCCTCTATGCCCAATCGAGCCGGTGACCACTACAACAACGGGGAATCTGTGTGTGGTTCGTACTCCTCCTCATGTCTGGTTTGGAATCAGGGATTTTTACCAAATCCCCTGGTTGAACTACCAGTGGTCCACCAATCCGGTTATAGCCCCGGATATCGGCTTTCCGTCCTCTCACTTTGTTGGGAAAGAGAAGGCGGAAAGTAGGGCTTCCTCAACAGAGGCTATTTGAGATACTTGGTCGTATGGGAGCATTTCGCAAGGTGCAAGGGAAGGGTGACCAGCCGCAACCCTGGACACCCACCCGTAACCATACTGAGGATCTCGGCGGATTGCGGACGAAATGCTTCCGCTACCGTCTGTGCGTGAACCGAATATTCGTGGTATGGGCCTACAAAATGGGTTTATTGGCAGTTCATGTTGACCTCTGTAAAACAACAGAACAACAGAAATCCGGATCGAGGTTACCCTCTACTTCGGGAACGAGATTCAGCTGGTCAGCTGATAAATCGAATAGGAAAACGATCAGTGCTTGGTAGTTCCACTTGTAGAGCGTACACAGGTGGTATCCATGCCGCTGCTGATTTTCGATCACTTCACACAGTGTTAGTCTTGTTCCGCAAACACATTAATACACCCTAGTTCGACTGCTCGTTGATCACTCCAGAAAAACGAAAAATCGATCTTTGATCAGTCTTCCTGTTGTTCTCGGGTTCGGGGATTGATTCGGCTCAACACAGCTGATTCAAATCACGAAGAATGGATTTTTTTTGCATCCGCTCAAACAGTTTGACTTCAGAAATGTGATACGAACAACTGGTAGTTGTCTCATTTTTGTGCCTAAAAAAAACACTCCAATTTGCGCTCGCACGTGTTGCACGTCTGACATGCACGTACGCATGTCCATAAACGTTCCGTGCATACTGTTCGTTATGGTCATCCGTGCACGTGATAAGATGCAATAGACCGTCGTACGTCAATTCTCCGCAGATTTCATTCACCATATCCGATCTTAGTGATGTTTCCACTTTGATGTCTCACATGTATTTCACTCCTCACCGAAACCGTCACGCAACTGTACATCTGGACAATGTGTACGCTCCTCATTGTGGTGTGTGTCTGTGTTGACTGGTGATGGCGGCCCAGTACGTCACAATGCGTTGTTTACAGCTACTGGAACTAATCATATTTATGTGAATGATCAGTGTCCTGTTTGATTCTCCACTTCTACCATTTCCATAAGTGAGCGATAGGTCCTCTTGACTATAGAGTCCAACCAACTGTTGGTCACATCCCGCCTTTGCTGAGGGATCGAGTGTTACGCTACATCTGTGCGGTCGGTTCCAGTATATCCAGCAAAGACATCTGTCAGGGCTAGAAGATAAAAGCAAACTATCGGGTTTCGAAAATGGCTAAGGCATATAGCACGAGGTGCCGTGTTCGGTTTAAACGAAAGTTTGTCACAAGAGCCTTTCACTTAAGCCTCAACAACAACAAAAGCAACAATGCGCAGAGAACATGACTGGAAACAACAGTTAGAGTGTATTAAAAAAAAAATAAAAAAAATTCTGGTTCAATACACAGTTATATAGGGTAAATCAGGCATACGAGGGTGGCACGGTGACGCACCAATCAGATTGCGTCCTTGGCATTCCGATTGATCGATCAGACAACCGCTGACTGACTCGATCTGCAGCCATCTGATTCGGACTCAGCCTGCCTGATGCGTCGCGAGTGTGCGAGTTGTGTGCGCGACCTGACGGGTTGCTTGAGTTTCATCCTAGCACAAGGCTGGTTGAGCAGCTGGACAATGGAATACCCGGAGTTTGGCGCACGCGGTCACGATCATGCACTGAGACAAGTGATAAACCACCGTGGTTTATGGTGGATGGATCCGGTGTTGCTAAGGTGACCAGATTGGTTTCCTCTTCGTACTGTGTTGGTCGAATTCGATGGTGATTGGAAGGAAGCCAAGGGTGGTGGTGGTCAAGCCAGGAGTTAGTATGATGACGCGAAACTAGTGACCCGGACATTCGATCATGTACTGGTCGATTGTTGCCTCATGGCTTGATAATCTCGGTTCAGCGGTTGAGTGTGGTAAGCAGCGTCGCTGCTACATCTATTTACTGTCTGCACATAACCAATTCATCCGGATTTTGCACTTTTATCAGGGTACTGCTTTATGAAGTTATTCCTGAGATATGGGCGTCAAAAGAGGATCATCAAGTAGATAGATATCATCCCCAAATGACTTGCCACAGGTTATTCTTCGCTTCGTCTCATGTGTTGTTGGTCCATATCCTCATTTTCTGGTTTTCCTCGCTTTATAGTGAGTATTACTAAGAACGAAACCCTTACTCTCTATGTCCATCATCCAGCTGATGAAGTGACTGGTGCTTGAAGGGTTGAATGAATAACCCTTCGTACCTCGGCTCAAACCTAAGGGGATTCGGTGGATATGCGCACTGCTGATGACTCCTAATAAAGATAAACCGGCTATTCCAGTCGTAG